TTGTTGTTTTTTGTTGTTGTTGTGTGTGTGTGTGGGGGGGGGGTTGAGTCAGCATTTTTTTTGTCACCCAGGCTAGTGTTGAACTAGCTATGTAGTCAGGAAGACCTTGAACCCTGATCTTCCCTCCTATGTCAATATGACTGGAGTACAGGTATGTGTCACCAGGATTTGTTTCCAACAAAGTCACTCCAGGCAAAGAGCTCCCATGGGAGGTTTATTGGGGGAGGTGCAGAGGTGGCCTCTGAGGGAGGGAGGGGAGAGAGGGAGGAGGGAGAGGAAAGGAGAAGAGAGGGGGAGAGAGAGATGAAGAGAAGGGGAGAGAGGGAGGGAGAAAGGAAAAGGGAGGAGAGAAAGGGGGAGCAGAGGGAAAGAGAGAGTGCTCACACAAGTGCACTCTACCTAGCAGCTGTAGTAGCTATACTTAGGGGTTGTAGTAGTTACAATGTCACATATTGGCTGCTTCTGCTGATACGTCCTGCTAGGTCCCTAAGAGCAGGCCAGTGTAAATGCCTGAATGCCAACACTACTGACATTTAAAATTACAAATGTGTCCAGTGGAGAAACATCTGGCTGGCATTCATGATAAACTGTGTTTGATTCCTAGCACTGATCGTGGGGCCGAAGACTATTAAATGTGTTCAAATAAAAGAAAAATAAAAGAAAAAGGCTTTACACTAAATACGTTCATGACAGTAAAACTAATACTTCCCCATTAGTTGGTTTTATTTCTCATCATATTGAACTTCAGAATTAACTCCATCAGTAAAATTAACAAGCTTTCAAACAATTGGGGTTTGTTTGTTTGTTTGTTTGTTTGTTTTGAGACAGGGTCTATGTAGCTCTGGCTGTCCTGGAACTTGCTATGTAGATGAAGCTGGCCTTGAACTCATGGAGATCTACCTTTCTCTGACTCTTAAGTGCTAGAATAAAGGAAGTGCACTTTCAAGCATTTTCAAGGAATTGTAATGGCTTGAACAAAAAATGATTAATACTTAAATTGGCCATATTAATGTAAAAAATCAGCTGTAGAAAATGCGTTAACTTTTTTAAAGAAACGGTGGGAGTGGGCTTGTGAACTGGTAAAAGGCATGCATTCAAAAGCACCTTGCTGAAATGGGCCCTGGACCTTAATAGGTTTATTTACAGAGCACCAGCAGAAAGTTCTAGAACTTTTTAAAGACATCCTAAACTTTAATTAAACACAATAATATATTGAGATCACAGGAAAGTCTGCAATACAAAAATACTACAAGTACAAACTAAGTCCAATTCTAAAAAGAAAAAAAATCCATATATAATGTGTCATTACCTTTGCCTATCTGTAGTCTTTTTTGTTAGTAAATAAAGATGTGTTTAAATTTTACCTTTTCAGAGACCACACAAATTATTGGGCAAACACATAATTAAGAGTTCAAAGAGATAAATGCAAAACATTTGCATGACTATTACTGTTACAGAAAAAGGGAACAACAAATAGTTAACAATGAAAAGCATGCAATTCTGAGAAAAACTAGTTACCAAGCCACTTGGAAACAGGACACGTTACCATTTATTACCACAGTAATTCATCTGTGACTTTTCCTTTTAGTTTCAATTATCTACAGTCAGTGGCAGTCCAAAACTATTAAGTGCCAAATTCCAGACAGCAAATAATTCATAAGACTTTACTTATGAACCATTCTGAGTAGCAAGATGAAATTCCCTAGTTCTACCAAGAAAGTGAATCATCACTTTGTCCTGTGTATCCATGTTGTATATGCTACCTGCCCTGTAGTCATTTACCAGTAACTCTCTTGATCAGGAAATTCACAGTATGATAGTATCTCGTTCAAGTAATCTTTATTTTACTTATTAATGGTTTCAAAGCACAGGAGTAGAGATGCTGACAATTTCATTACAGTATATTGCTATCACTGATCTATTTTATTATTAGCTATTGTTATTCTATCTAATTTACAAATTAACTATTACATGTATTCCACATATGTTTATACAGGAAAAGACTGGTTAGGTGCTACTCAAGGTTTCAAGAAGGGGGTCTTAAAAGTATCCCTGGTGGATAAAATAGACTACTGTGCCAATGTTGGTCAATCGCCAACTTTAATCAGAAAGTACATGCTCACGACAATTTAAAAACTCAGTGAGACTGTAAAGAACTGGTTCTTCCTCGGTAAACAGCACTATATCAGTTCTCTTGCAAAGGCATCATCAACTTCAAATATATTCTAAAGCAAAAATGAATCCTAAATGCAAAACGTTACATCCAACAAAAGACCCTAGAAAGTTTAAGTTTAGAATTTTCATAGGAAACTATATATAAAATGTGACCTTATATATAAAGCAAGTTGTTAATAATCTTCTATGGAAGGAAACATTTCTATTCGTTTTTAATTTTATGAGGTTATATGAGAAGAATTCTAATTAAAGGACAAAAAAAAAAAAAAAAAAAGCCCTCTGTGAAAGCAAGGAAATTTGTGCTGCAGGCACTCAAGGATGGTAGAACTTATTAGGCAAACAGAAGCAAGGCATTCTATTTAAGGGAACCTACTCAAGCAAAGCAAAGAGGTGGGGTGTTCAGCCTGCTCCGGGGTGAGCACACTGTCAGGAGTGGGATTCTCAGAAGGTAGACAGGACCAAATTGTGAGACTTCACTATCCAGCTGAGACACGTATTTGGCGGTGTGTATTTCTGCAATGGGGACCCTCGTAGAGTTTTTGTTTTTCAACAAAGAAAGAACAAAATTGGATGTTAGGGAGAGAAACTGGCACCATCATATGAGGCAGGATGAGGAGAAGGAGGAGAAAAATACTGTGAAAACTCAGAAGCCTTTCTGGTCATCTCAGAACACCAAGTACATTACTCTGCACATAACAGATGTCCGACCATCTTCCTTGGATTTCTTGCCTGAGAAGACAAAAACTATGTATGAGACAGCAAAGAATTCACTAATGCTGAGGTAGGGGGTGCAGCTTTGTACAAGTGGAAGCATGTGAGGACAAAACTGGGGTTCATCCCCCCAGCACATGTGAGGGTGAGATCCGGGGTTCAACGCCCAGCACTTCAAAAGACAAAGAATTCTGGCAATAATGCAAAAACAAGGGTTTAACACATTTCTGTTTTACAGTGAAGACTATATTTATATTCATGGGGAGAAGTCAAGAAAATTTTACTCATGTTTTTAGAAAGGTTAAAAGTGATGGGAAGTGTTACTTGATTTAGAAGGCCATTGCCAGTCCATAGTTAGAAAGGTAGAAATATTACTTCACACTCCACAACAAAACACTGAACCTATTGGCGGTTTTAA